TGTTGGAGTACTTGATGGTGTTGGAGTACTTGATGGTGTTGGAGTACTTGATGATGTTGGAGTACTTGATGGTGTTGGAGTACTTGATGATGTTGGTGTACTTGATGTTGTTGGAATGCTTGATGGTGTTGCAGTACTTGTTGTATCAGGAGTACTCGATGTTACTTGTGTACTTGATGCTGTTTGTGTATTTGATATTGATGGATTGACCGATATCGTTTGGGTGCTTGATACTGATAGGTCAACTAAAAGTAAAAGTATAATGGCTAACATCGGAAGTGCATAAGTTAATCGATTGAAGAATATGTGGCATTTTCAATTACATTAAAATAAATTGTAGCTCTAGTCAGTATTAACAAATTCATTAACAATTCATAAGGTTAACACAATGATAAATCATTGCCGTGATCGCTTGTTTATATGAGCAAGAGATTCGTCCTTATTTGCATATGATTTTAACTTAAATTTTACCATAAATAAATAAATAAACAAACGTGTTAGGGACTGGACGCGAGTACGGCCAAAGTACGGACGTGTTTCCTCGAGCTTCTACAAATTTAGTCAACAGTTTTATTGACAATTATGACCAAAGAACAAGTAGCAAATTCACTAGTAAAGCCAATGGATTTTCCTTGAATCTCATGCCTCAAATTTTAAAGGAGAAAAAAAAAAGTATAAAACAAAAATGGATGAGCATGCAAAAATGAAATTGCTGCACCGAATATTCACTCGGTGAATTTTTCTACCAGTATTTCAACAAGGAAACTCGACATGGTGAGAGTTAAATTACATTCGGGTATTCGACTATTTCATGCAACTCTTATGGCTAGTCTACTTCTTCTCTCAAATAATTTCTCGCTCAATCCTGGGCCTACAGCAACTAATTTTGTTAAAATTGTAAGGAAAAATCAGACCGGCATGTGGTGTGGTAGTTGTACGTCTAAAAAAAACCCTACAAATTAATGTCTGATCTGCTGGCCCCAGCGAAACCTGGAGAGAAATCTTATGATGACTTCTTCACCTTGGTAAAGAGCCATTTCAACCCAAAACTGAGTGGAAGCGTGCAACGGCACAAGTTCAATAACCGTTTCAGATTGAAGGGGAGAACGTGTCTGACTTTGTAGCGGCTCTACGAAACATGGCAGAATACTGCAATTTTGAAGGCAGTCTAGAAAATATGCTGCATGATCGTCTGGTGTCTAAAATTAACAATGAAAGAATCCAAAGGCGATTGCTATCAGAAGAGAACTTAACTTTCAAAAAAGCTTACGACATTGCTTTGTCTATGGAAACGACCGCAAAGCACATGGCCGATCTTCAATCTTCTCCTTCTACGTTAAGTTCAACGTCTGCATCTGTAAAAAAGGTCAGTTATTCGCCCTTACCGCGCTCTCAAAGCAAAAATAAAGAGTGTTATCGTTGTGGAAAAAATCACCACCCGTCAAAATGTCGTTTCAAGGAGGCCGCGTGCCATTATTGTAAAAAGGAAGGACATATTGTTGTCAAATGTCTCAAAAAAGCAAAAATGTCGTCCGAGACAACCAAACCAAATTCAAACCACCATCCAAAACAAGGGAAACCAGCAATTCATGTCCTGGATACTGATAAAGAAACCGAAGATGAAGATATATATCCATTGTTTGCTGTCAGTGAAGGCAATTGCCAAAATCCGTATTTGGTAGATGTTGAATTAAATGGTCTTAAAGTTCAAATGGAACTGGACACTGGTGCATCAATTTCAGTAATTTCAGTTGAAGAACATTGAGGGTTCATCTCTCAACCTGCAAGATACTAAGTTAACCTTGAAAACATACACCGGGGAGACTATTCCAGTTTTAGGAAAACTTTTAGTGGAAGTCAAGTACAAGGACTTCTGTGAACACTTGCCAGTTATAGTTGTACAAGGCAAGGTGCCCAGTCTCTTTGGACGAGATTGGTTACAACATGTCAAGTTGCCATGGCCAGAGATTTTCCTATTTCAAGTTGTATCCCCTGATGTATCAGAGCTGCTGAAGAAACATGGAAATTTATTCAAGGAAGGACTAGGGACAATTCAAGGAGTGAAAGGAAAGATATACGTTGATCCTCAAGCCAAACCCAAGTACTTCAAACCTCGCACGATAGAATATGCACGACGTCAGAAGGTGGAGAGAGGATTGGACCGTTTGTTAGAAGAAGGAACAATTCGTCCAGTTCAATTTTTTGAATGGGCAACACCCATTGTGCCCATTGTTAAATCTGATGAGTCTATACGCATTTGTGGAGACTTCAAAGTTACTTTGAACCAAGTTAGCAAACTTGACAATTACCCAATTCCTAAAACAGAGGATCTGCTAGCTCAACTTGGAGGTGGAGTGCAGTTTTACAAAACTAGATCTGAGTCAAGCTTATCAACAACTTGAGTTAGAAGAAGAATCAAAGAAGTATAACACCATCACCACCCACAAAGGCCTATTTGAGAACAATATACTGTGCTATGGCATCGCCTCAGCCCCAGGGATTTTCCAACGCACAATGGAAAATTTACTGCAGGGTACTCCGAATGTTGTAGTACGAATAGATGATATTCTCATTGCCGGGAAGACATCAGCAGATCATGTGAAAAGTCTAACAGAAGTCCTGTCACGTCTGGACAAAGCTGGCGTCCGTCTTAAACGTTCGAGGTGCATTTTTCAAGCACCTGAAGTCTCTTACCTGGGACACCGCATAGACAAAGATAGTATCCACCCCCTTGACGAGAAAATCAAAGCAATTCAAGAGTCACCGAGACCTACTAATCTGAAAGAACTGCAAGCCTTTTTAGGCATGCTTAACTATTACGCTTGTTACATACCTAACATCACTACAATACTATCTCCATTACATCAGCTGTTAGTCAAAGACACACCATGGAACTGAAGTGAAGCACATGAAAAATCTTGGAATAAAGCCAAGTCCACACTTCACTCTTCACAACTTCTATGCATTACAGCTTGGAAAGAGAAGTAACCCTTGCTTGTGACGCATCCCCATATGGTCTTAGTTGTGTTATTTCACATGTGATGGATGATGGGACTGAACGTCCTATTTCATATGCCTCACGTACTCTGTCCCCAGCCGAAAAGAACTATTCACAGCTCAACAAAGAGGTAGCATCCATCATGTTCGGGGTGAGGAAGTTCCACTCATACTTATATGGACGGAGTTGTACTATCTACACTGATCACAAACTCCTGATGGGTCTGGTACAGTCAACTAAACAAATACCGACCTCAGCCTCACCACGCATATTGAGGTGGGCGGTATTCCTGTCAGGCTACTCATACACTTTAGTATATCGAGAAGGCCAGAAAAATGGTAATGCCGATGGCCTGAGCMGGCTGCCATTGCCAAATGAAGCCTAAAATGTTCCAGTGCCTGGCGACATTATTTTTGTAATGAATCATCTTGAAGTCAACACACCCGTTAAAGTCAAGGACATTGAGCGTTGGACCTCAAAAGATCCTATTCTTAGTGCASTACGACACCAAGTAATGTCCGGTTCAAGCCCTACTCATATAGGAAGCACCGCACAGAAGAAACAACACGACAATCTAGTGCCACTCAGAGAATTTCAAGTGAATGACCCAGTATTTGTCAATAATTTTTCATTTGGTCCAAAGGGGTTATCTGGAACAATAATTCAACAGTCAGGACCAGTTTCGTATGTCGTTCAACTCAGTTCAGTTGGAGTGTTTCGACGACATGTTGACTATCTCCGCCTGAGGACAAGCACAGCCACAGTTGCCAATGATCTTCAGAGTTCAACAGAATTGGCACAAGTTCCAGTGCAAACAACTGTACCAAAGCAGATTCCAGAGGAACTTAAGGAACCTGATATCACAGTTCCAGAACCTGCATTGGAACCGAAGAAGACAGAGCTTCCAGCTTCTGAACCTGCAAGTACTCTGCGAAGAAGTAGTCGACTCCAAACCACACCTACTCACCTCAAAGACTATGTGTGTTAGATTTAAGCGGCATATCACACACTGTGTACATTTTGCCGGATCTGATAGATTGATAACTTGTCAAGAACATTGTTTCATGGACATTGTTGTTGTTTTTTACTTATTGACAGTTTTTGTGAGTGTAAAATTTAATAGTTTTAATTGCCTCACCAACTGTATTTTTTTAGTTGTAAACTTGGGTGGGGCAGTATGTAATGTTTGGGATTCCTGTTCATATGGCCGCAAGGTCTTCTGGGAAGCAGCAATAAAAACTAGAGTAGTTTTGATCTTAAGGTTTTTCTCAAATACATTACACATATGACCAATCACATAGTTGTTAAAGCTGTGCTGGATGAAGTGAAATCCAACAAGGCTCATGGCTATGACCTAATTCCTTCACGAGCAATCAGAGACTCCTCCAATTCCATTGCAAAACCTCTTAGTGACCGATAAACACCATGATTACAAGGTCACATGTCCCGGATACTTGGAAACATGGACAAATTACACCATACCATAAGAAGGATAGCGTTTTGGACAAAGCAAATTTTAGGCCAGTAACTGTATTGCCAGCTTTTGCAAAAGTATTTGAGCGGATACTTCATTTACAAATGACTGATTACTTTGAGGGTATCTTTCATGACTTAACATTTGCATATCGGAAATATCACGGCTGCGCTGCGGTACTTTTAACGTTGACAGGGCACTGGAGAGAGGAAATTGATAACAGAAAGGTTATTGCAGCGATGGCTATTGATCTTAGTAAAGCATTTGACTGTCTTCATTAGGAGCCGGAGAGGGCTTTTTTTTGTACGGGATCTCCTGCTGAAATAATCATTAGGTTGTGGTTTTGGGGTGTTATAAGCCGTAGGGATTAACAACCACAGGAACCCACAGCAATTCTTATACTGACAGCGAACGTACAACAGACACAAAAGTCAAATATTAACGGATCGTAATATTAGCTAAATATGAATATGTTTGAGCCAAATAAGGCAAGCACCCTAAGGTTTTGGCGCGGAATACAAATCATTTAACGAGGGTAAATGGCGCCAACAAACAACGAGGACTCTCTTTCTAGTTTCTTGGCCGTTTTACCAGATAATAGTATGAATATRAGCTACTGGCACGCATTAGACAGTAAACTCCTCAATTTGGATGTCCGGAAGGTCAATAATCTAATAGTAAAGAAAGGCTCTCACTAAAGATTGGTATGTTATAGGTACGTAAACACACTCTGCGAGAGCCGAAGTTTTGTAGTGTATTTTTGTGCAGTTTAT